CACCCTCCCCCACACCCCACACACCCACGGCCCCCCACAAACCTGTACGCCCCACACAATATACAAGAGGAAGCCTTCATTTTAAGCTATTATATACAATCACCTCTATGGTACACTACACAAACACATGTAAACCAGGACAAAAATATTTTTTGAAATCAAATTAATGAATGTTGTAGGTGTTCACTTTTTAAAATATAATTTGGTATTTTTCTGGTTCTGAGATGGCAAAGCCCCTTGCTGAAAGGAGTACTTCCGAGAGCAAGGGGAGGGACTTCTGGCAGCAAAGGTCAGGGGTTAGGGGGCAGGACATCCAGTCACAAGATGGTGACCAGGAGGTGGGGCACCTGTCAAGGGGCAGAGCTATCCATATGGCCCTTGACAGCTTGCCAAAACTGGGTAGGCGGCCTTCCACCCAAAATAATTGCCTGCCCCTGGCCTAATCCAAACCGCTGTGCTGTCCAGAGGACTCTCAGATACTTTAGGTACCTAGCTTCCTAGTGTAACCCACAGCTCAGTCAGGTGTCTGGACTTCCTGCACAATACATGAGGAGATTTATGTGGCTAGGAATGAGATCTGCAACAGTCAGCAGGCACGTCTACACGAGATGTTTACTGCGCATTAGTCTAATAACACCGTGCAGTAGCATGGTAGTTAAAAACATGCTAATAGCCTACTGTAAAGTGTTATTAGGGTAATGCGTAGTAAGCATCATGCAAAAACCATGCACCAGTGCTACTGCACAGGAACTCTAGATATTGTGCATTTAGTTAGTACTTTATTAAGCAAGTATTAAACTAAATTTGCCATACCTAAGGCACATTAATGAAAGTGTAGACACACCCAGCATCTCCCTAAATTATAAGGAGTATAATAAAACCTTCCACATGTCAGGGCATGTCTACACATGTGCTTTACTGCTCAGTAGACTAATTTACTGCACAGTAAAGCATCACTGTCTACATGTGCATGGCAATTGGGCCATTGTAGACTAATTTACAGCACCACTGGATACTCCCATGAGATAAAGATACTATCCGATGGTAGAGTAAATGACTGTGCTTAAACACATGTGTAGACAGTGATGTTAGGATTAGTTTACTGTAGTTCAAATTGAACCAGAGTTTATTCAGTATATTAATTGCATATGTAGACACGCCCTCAAGGACTAAGATACTCTTGGGTGAAGGTAGGATCCACATCTCTGAAGCTTCAACTGGATTACAGGAATGAAACTATTAGCACTGACATATAGAAATATTAAAATGTTACAAGCTAAGAAAACCTGATGTATTGATGAACCAGAAATTCCTTCACATCCATTACCTTCTTCAGTCAATTTATAAGAGTCAGATGCTGCTCTTTGCTCCACACAGTTAGTTCCCATTGGCCATTAGAGTCTAATTCTGAAACTGCTGTTTGCACAGATTTTTTAAATCGGTGAGATCTTCACGAACATAGCACCTACAAAATTTAGGGCCTTTTATGGATCCTGATCATGCTGGTATAAATCTAGAGTAGCCATCTTTTAGATTTAAACTAAGGTAAAGGAGATCTTAATCTCCCCTTCATACTGTTTTATCTTGTCTCCTTGACTAACCCCAGTCAGTGATTAAATCACTAATTTTTCTCAGCGTCTGCAAACTAAAAAACCATAGCGCTATTTAATTTAACAGCATGTTTACTGTTAAACTATGGAGAAAACTGAATTCCTGATCTACTGAGTGTTCATAGATCAAATGGGCACAGGCAATTTAGATTGTTAAACAGAGGGAAATGTCCTGACTGCAGAAGTTTGAAGTGGAGGTATTATTTAAGAAAATGCAGGGCTGAATACCAGTGCTGTAACTAGGGTGGGGCAAACAAGACAACCACCCCTGACACTAACTTAGGGCAGAAGGGTGAAAAAAAAAGGCTAATTGCAACCGTATGGCAACCAGAAATCGCCCCTGCCCCTGTGTCCCACCATCTGTGTCCCAGTGTTACTGCTGAATCCTATCTAGACACTATAGAAAAGAATCCATTAAACTATTATAAAATGCAGTAATGTATGTAGTGGAAGAAAAAGACAGCAGCTGAAGAAACCCTAATTAAATGCCTTTTTTACATTTCAACGTTAGCCATTCCCTTGGTAGTGTTTTGTGCTTCCCTACAGTGCTGTGGGACTTTGTCTCTGTAGGGGCTGGAGCACTAATTAGCACTCAGTCATCCCACTGCATGAAGAAAAGCTGAAAACTTTTCTGCATCTGGCCATATTGTTTGAGAAGAATGTGAAGCTACAATAAGGATGTATTTTGAACAAATATTTTCTTGTACAGGGATGGATTTTTTTTAATGAGAATGGAATCCAAGTTCAAGCAGTGAATTTTTCAGGGAAAATGTGCATGGACTTCAGGGCCTCAAACACTTTCTGAATATATAGTCATTGAGAATAGGATAAGTCATGGCCAGTATCTGAAAAACCTGGTCTTTTACTGCAAAAATACCTTTTCTGTATTGTTAAGCATAGCTTTATTGTCTGTCAGTATGAAAATGCAGTAAATATATGATTTCTGAGTCTCTTTAAATGAAAGTAGAAATCATTGCATGTAAAAGTCTATGTGTTGTATGATGTATCAGAGGGATAATAGGTCATATGATAATTAAGTTTATTTTCCTGTATATAAGAAGAAAACAACCCACAGTCACTGTATACCTAGTCTGTTTTTGGTTAGGTCTACAGTCCCCAACCTGTTTCTGAGGCTACAGGTAGATGTTAAAATAATGGTGCAATGGGACCAGAAGACTTTTATGCCCCATTCCAAACATTACACCTCCTACCATACACATCTGGCATGACAGGAGGTGCAGTGTTTGAGATGGGTCATAAAGTATTTTGATCCTAGTTGCACCACTGCAGAACTGCCCCCAGGCCAATCCTATGGGCTCTGGGGCTTTCTGGTGCCAATGCTGATTGTTGGCATCAGCCCCAGGTCCAGCTCCAACCCTAGGTCAACATCAACAAATAGACTCAGAGCTGTCCAGGACTGGGGCTGACTTTGAAGTGCCTGCCAGATCCAGGATAGCCCCCAGCCACATTCCAGCTGAATGTCAGCTTCAGGATAGTGGGGCATGTCATATATTCAATTTATGGCACTATAAAAACCAACCACAAAGATGTTCCACATATTCATGGAATATCTTTGTGGCTGGCTTGCGATTTTATGGCACTATAAATTTAATGTGTGTGGTATATTATTATTTATGGCACAACTAACATGTTATTCATGCAATAAATGCAACAAGTGCCAGGGACCTGGTGGGCCACACTTTACAACAGATTGACAGATAAGAACTGTCTTCCTTTCCACCTCTCAATCTAGTGCAGGTTCTAACCCTTCAGTATTTTCTGCTACTACTTCTTTTGTCCTTTTTCCTTTGTGTTTCTTTTTTCCTTAATTATGGTTTTCTTGTGTTGTGGCTTCTACTGCTTGTTCCACATTCACCAGAAAGCTATGTGCTCCCTAATGTGGGAGCAGCTCCACAGGACTGGGCCACATGTGGAATTGCAGTTGTGGGAACCTGCAGCTGGCATCCAGACATGTAGCTCTGTATGTATGTAGAAGCAAAAATGGATGGTAATTAACTTTCAACATCCAGGTGTCACTTGTTGTTTTCCATTCCTATACTGGTCTTTCTATCATCATTACTGTTCTCCTTTCCCTGTGTATTCTATGGATCAGTTCTGACATCTCCAGAGTAGAATCTATCCCTCAGGCTGGAAAAAAACTTGAGTCATGAAGTATTCAGGGCAAGATATTTAAAATTTCTATAAGAAAATGGTGATGGTGCACTTCCAGATTTTGATAGAGGAATGAAAAGATTAAAGTTAAACAGGACAATATATGATAGGTATTCATACCCCGCTTTTGGGACCAAAAGTATTTTAGAGTGCTTATCAAGACTGACATACTGAAAAATGAGAAACAGGCATTGTTTAATTAACTGCAAAAACAAAGGCCTTTTTAGACTATAAACTGTAGGGAGAAGAAACCTTGTCTTCATGCTTTTCTGTGGAGTATCTACATGGTTTTGGAGCTTCCCTAGTAGTGTATATCATACACTAATTTGTAACAGTAACAAACCTCTAGAAGAGGTTTATAATCAAAGATCCTCCAGGATAACAAAAATCATGTCACCATAATGGGCTTGATCATGCTTGGTCTTGTATGTGGGCCCTGGATAGACAGTGTGCAAGGAGGTCCTACTGATTCCTTGTCCCTCAACACAGCAACCCAGTACAATTGTAGTTAGAGAGCACATGTTCTATGTGAATCTACCACTGTCAAAGTTACTCTTCCCCTCAAGTGCATGGAGAGCAAAGGAATGTTCAGATTTCTCAAGCCTTGAAGCCGTCAAAAAGGGTGTAGAGGAGAAAATAGGGGCCATGCTTCTCTCTGTTCTTAGACAAAGTTAATGACATAATGAACAAAGCTACCAAAGTCCTTAAGAAGATAATAACTTCGTGATTGTGGCATGAAGGGAAATGCAAAATTTATCATCCCTTGAAGTCTTTTTTAATGCACTTTGTAGATGACTAGGGAGGGGGAAAAGTAAGTAAAATTCAGCTCTGTAATGTCTAGCCCAAGTTTATAAAGAATGAAAAACAGTTTTTAAATAAAATAAAAGCCTGATTTTTGTAGATTGTACATCAAATAGGTAATGACTATATATTTTAAGTAATTATGTTTTCCTCTTTCTTATTGCAGCCCAGAAGATGGTGAGATTCACCCTGAAATCTGTAGACTATACATCCAGTTGCAGTGTTGCTTAGAAATGTACACAACAGAGATGCTTAAATCTGTATGTCTGCTAGGATCCCTTCAGTTTCACCGGAAAGGTACTGGCCTATACAACTACACCACATGCATTAGCATTATTTTCAAAAATGGTCTCTCTTTTTAATTGTTCGTAGAAGTACATATGGCATGTATAGCACCAAATTCTTGAATCATCTGTACTACAAAAGAGCATAATCAACTTATTTGACCCAGGTTTAGGTCTTGGTACCAATAAACAAGGTAGGCCATACATTTACTGGAATAAAGAGGCTAGAATAGAAAACTCTGAAAATAATCAATTCAAGAGTTTTAGAACATGACTTTTTTTTATATTCATTTGTCTGCTTGAGCTGTTCTAGTGCTTTATGAGAGTTGCAAGCAGAGTGCTTCACGTCTGCACTTTCCTCCCTGCACTGGTCTTCTTGGCTGGACTACCCTCCGATTACACAACATGGTCAGATGTATGATATCAACATGGATGACTGTATGATATCAATTCAACTAGAAGCCATCACAGGAGAAGTAGTCCAGCCAAGGAATGTGGTCTATAGTAAAGGTTACTTAACACTTTCTATTGTTGTTTGTCTTATAAACTCCACCATTTTAATATGGGGGGGGGGTTTGCTGCCTGCCTCGGGATTTTATTTTGTCTTGTCTCAACATGTCTGTAAAAATTAATTTTATTCTCACAAGCTAAGTTTGGAAAAGCTACCATATTTTTTTCTATGTAAGAAAGATTTTTATTACATTTTTGAAGAGCGTTTATCACTTCTATTCTTTGGTGCATGGACCTGAAATTTGGTAGGGTGAGAACACTTGGGAGCAGTTAGGTACTTTTTGTTCTCACCAGATTTTTTTATTCTTTTTTATTTTCTTCCCAGATTTAGTCAAACGGTAAGCTTCTCAAAAAATGTTTTGCATATTCAGTAGAATTTCAGAGGCTTTCTGCTCAGATCACCGTGCATTCAATTTATGCTGAATGTTCTGAGGCTCACACAACCCGAACTGTATTTTCCAAAAGCTTATTTGGGCCATGTTCGCTTTCTTCTGGAAGAGTTGCATCTTTTCCAGGAGAAACCACAAGTGTACAGATGTCCAGGAGTTCTCTCCCACAGCAAAAATAGCCACTTTAAAAGAAAAAAATATCCTGGAAACAGCCAGGGTTAAATCACTCCCAGGAGAATTTATCCTAAGAGAATGAATGTCTGTACACATTCTTCTGAGAGAAGCCACAACAGTGTCCTCCAGCATCACAGGGCATTTTGTTCCTACCCTACCCCATGGGAGGCAATCTGGGTGAGCTAGTCAGGGCAGAGCTGCCCTGTGCACTGCTGCCATCTGTCTCCAGACAGACTGCAGGCTGCGGGACATGGTGAGATATGTGCACAGGACAGTCCTCCTGACTGTGCAGAATCAGCCCTGCAAGCTGTCTGCTTTTTAGGGGCTCAGCATTCAAATGTCTGTTCAGGTATCCCTAGGTAAGCTTTTCTACCTGGAGAACAAACCAAGAGAATTCTCATGTGTACACAGCCTCACAAACACCTTCATACTACAGACTATATATTAACTTCTAACACAGCACTATTCCTGTCTACTTCCTAATTTGCTGGGCAGTGACCCATGAAAAAATGCTTTGGCTGATGGGTGTTAATTATTAGGTTCACTTCACATTCCATATTCTTGAACAACACCTCACAACTGCTACAGGAAATAGTCAACTGAGAAATCTCTGGCAGAACCCTGTCTCCAATGAGACACACTCATCTCATCCAAAGCTACATTGCTTTTCCGGCTCCTTGTATCAAATGTGTGTGTGAGACTGTGGTGCCTTATCTACTAGATACACTTCTTTTGCAGAGCCAGGATTAGAATATCAGAAGATGGATTCTTAGTTTTCAACTCTGTCCACTAACAATACGTGGGTTCTGACCTCCCTATATATAGAGAATAAAAATGTGTTGATGTAGCAGTTGCTCCTTTAATTTAAGTGACAGAGCTCTTTTGAAGTGTACACATCCATTTCTGAGTCTTTGATAGTTGTATCTACCAGTATCAGAAAATCTAGGAGAGAACCAGTCATCAACATTTTCACTCCCTTGAACACAGTGACTACAAAAAGGTATGTGGTGGTTCAGGACAAACATTTGGTTGGTCATACTAACAAGGCTTATTGCCATATTGATTCTTCGATATCCTTGTTTACATTAGGCCACTAGTACATGATTGCAGCTCAAATGCACAGTAAGTAAACCTGGGCAGATTTCAAGAAGTTTTTCTTTTTTAAAACATACTGCTACATTTTCAGAAATGATAAATCTTATATGCTACATGAAGCATCCCTCCTTAGTGAAAGTTTATTTTTCCTGTAAAATTAGTTTAATCTAATAGGTAATTTCACCTTTGTTCAGCCATCCACTGAAAGTAAAGTGTAGAGTTTGACTGTTCACATAGCCTGGCAGATTATCAGAGGCTATTGGTTAATTAAGACCATACTTAGGCTAGTTAAGCTACATTTTCTCTTGATAATACTCCCTCAGATTATATGAACATTCATTTCAAAGGAAAAACAAAAAAAATCCAGTTTTATTAGCATTTTTAATGAACACTTGATAATTAGTAACATACATGGATACATAATTGGTACATAAATGGATAGACTGCCTCTAATTACATGACATAATTAACAGTGGAGTTCCTTTTTTCACTTCAAGAATTAGATTTGCGATGGGTGAACAGAGTTTATTTTAGTAATATAGATTTGCATAAAAACATCTGCACTCAAATAATGATAACTGAATCTCCTCATGGGCTAGGGACAGACATTCAAAAACCCAAGTCTGAATTAATTCAATGTTTACAGGTTAGTCTTACCTTAGTAAGCTGAACCAGTTTGAAACTGGAGAGACATTCTCTCTGGACTGAGAAAACTCAGGCACTGTCACGGCGGGGTCCTATAGGAGGGCCGTGGTCTCCTTAAGGCCCTCTCTCCGTGCCAAGTCAGCCCAAGGACACCCTAAAATTCTCGCCCGCCATGTCTTGCTGGTAAATATAATAGGGAGGCTGCCTTGCGTCTCCTTGGGCACGTACACTCCTGGACCCCTCGCGGGTCTTATCCTGCACCCCTGGGTGCATTGGGGCACCCTAGCCTTATGGGCTACGCGTGGCTCTTACCAACCCCTAATACCACGCCCCAAGCCTCACTGATGGGAAAGACACTGGTATGTCTCTTTTATTTTTATATAT